CTCTTCTGTGGCCCATCTTTACATGTAATGATGGGCCTGTCTTCCACCACCACCACCACCATAAGTTGGAGGGGTAAGGAGGTGGAGGACGAGGACGAGGAGGAGGACGAAGAGGAGAAGGAAGACGAGGAGGAGGAGGAGGAGGAGGACCTCATCCCCCCTCCAACTTCTGGTGGTGGTGGTGGAAAACAGGCTCATCATATGAGACCGCTCTAGCGAAGAGCTACTAGGCACTCGTCGACACCGTCGTCTGCAACACTTGTCGGGCTGGCTCGATCCGTGGGGATCCGGGGGCCCGACGCCGGACGTGAGAGCCAGGTGTGCACAGATTGCCCCAGCAACGCTCCCTAATTGAAGGGGCCCCAGGACACACAAATAAACACGCACAAATACAACGATTCCCCATACGTTCCTATATTTTTGGGGCTTCTGTCTTCCCCCCCACTTCCCATATTTTCCCATATCCTCTGGGGAATCAACGATGAATTGCGTCTGTGTTTTTTTTTTCCCCCTCCTGACGAATGGCAGCCAAATTGTGAAGGGGAGCTGGGACACACAAATAAATACACACAAATAAAAATATCCACCATATTTTCCCATATTTTCTGGGCTTCTGTCTTCCCCCCCACTCCCCATATTTCCCATATTTTCTGGGGAATCGCCGATGAATTGTGTCTGTGTGTGTTTTTTTTTCCCCCTCCTGACGAGTGGCAGCCGAATTGAAGATGCGGGAGGTCGGCGAGCGAAAAAACGGGCCTTCGTGCGTCTTCCCACGAGTTGCTGGGCGTGACAGGGGGATTTTCGACGAAAAATAAGCAATACACCCTGCGAAATGCTTAAGAAATCATGGGTTAAGAAATTCATAGTCTCAGAAATTGAATAAAACCAAGAACTTCTATCAAAATCTTGGGATTTACATTAAAACGTTAAGAATAATCGAGACTCTGGACGAAAACTTAGGTTTTCTTAAGCATCGCCTAAGGTGTACCCCAAAAGTAGCCAAAACATAATCCAAAAATAATCCGGGGACTATGTTTTGAACATGTTTGGGCCCTCTGGATGTATTTTGGGGGTACATTTTTTATTTCTCGTCGAAAATCCTCCTGTAGGGGGACGCGACCGACATAACTCGGGTCGGGCGAAAGGGGGGGATAGCAAAGGGGGGGTTTGAGAATCAGCTCACGCAGCTGATTTTCCCGGCGCCTCCCGGCGCCGGAGGCGGCCATGTTTCGAGGAATGGGCCCCTCGGCGGGGCCGAAACCAGCTGCATGCAGCAAATTTCGTACCCCCCCCCCGTTCCCAATCCCCCCCTTTCGCCCGACCCGAAGGCGTGACAGGGGTGAGGACACATAGGGGGAAAACAAACCTACCTCGCTTTTGACCAGCCTCGCTTCCAAGAGATGCCAAACGATGCCAAACCACGGCCTGTAAGAAGCATTTAAGACCCCCCCCCCCCCTTCCGGCAAATCGATAACCCTTCCGCACCCTGGAAGCGTTACCTGGCACCAGGAGCCCTCCTCCTCCTCCTCCTCATCCTCCTCCTCCTCCTCCTCCTCCTCTCCTCCACCCACGAACTTCCTCCTGCCCCTTAGGAATCCTTAAATTCATGAGGAATCCCCTGGAATTTTTGACGAGCCCTTAGGAATTTAAAGGAGTCTTCTGGATTCTGGAATCCTGAGGAATCCACAGAAAGTCTTAGGAATGCGCAGGAATCGTGAGGGAATCCTTAAGAATCCTAGATAAATCCTTAGGAATCCCTAGGACACCCGCAGGAATAGAACTGGATTGTTTTTTCGCGTGGCCGGGTGCTAAGATAACGCCACGGTGCGGGGGGGGCGGGATACCCTCTCGTGGACCTCCCCCTAGGACGGCCGATGAAAATCAATTTCTAGAAGGGTTTTGAATGAGAAATCTCTTCCAAGAGGCCAGCAGATCAGAAGAGAGAAAAGGAGGAGGAGGAGGAGGAGGAGAAGGAGGAGGAGGAGGAGGAGAAGGAGGAGGAGGAGGAGAGGAGGAGGAGGAGGAGAGGAGGAGGAGGAGGAGGAGGAGGAGAGGAGAAGGAGGAGCAAGACAAGGAACATGAGCAGGAAAAGGAGGAGAAGCAGGAGCAGGGAAAGCTTCTCAGTTGTCTCAGTTTTCTCAGCTTTCCCAGGTTTCTCAGCTTCCCCAGGTTTCTCAGCTTTCCCAGGTTTCTCAGCCTTTCCAGTTGATTCAGAACGGATCGTCGGCAGATTGTCCTGTGTCTTGCCCAGGTCAGATTGGATTCTTGATGAGATGGAAGCGTCGCTCACAAGTCTGAAGCACTGGAAGGAGAGGAGGAGATGGAGGAGGAGGAGGAGGAGGAGGAGGAGGAGGAGGAGGAGGAAGAGAAGGAGGAGAACGAATGTTTAGGAATCTCTAGGAATCCTCAGGAATCCTGAGGACCCTGTAGGAATCCTTAGGAATCCTAACATTCATGAGGAATGCCCTGGAATTTGTGACGAGCCCTCAGGAATTTAAAAGAGTCTTCTGGAATTCTGAGGAATCCACAGAAAGCTTTAGGAATGCGCAGGAATCGTAGGGGAATCCTTAAGAATCCTAAATAAATCCTTAGGAATCCCTAGGACACCCGCAGGAATAGAACTGGATTGTTTTTTCGCGTGGCCGGGTGCTAAGATAACGCCACGGTGCGGGGGGGGGCGGGATACCCTCTCGTGGACCTCCCCCTAGGACGGCCGATGAAAATCAATTTCTAGAAGGGTTTTGAATGAGAAATCTCTTCCAAGAGGCCAGCAGATCAGAAGAGAGAAAGGAGGAGGAGGAGGAGGAGGAGGAGGAGAAGGAGGAGGAGGAGGAGGAGGAGGAGGAGGAGGAGGAGGAGGAGGAGGAGGAGGAGGAGGAGGAGGAGAGGAGAAGGAGGAGCAAGACAAGGAACATGAGCAGGAAAAGGAGGAGAAGCAGGAGCAGGGAAAGCTTGTTTGGGAAGGGTCCTCAGCAGGTCTCTCAGAGAGGTCCCGAAGCAGGCCTCTCAGACCTCCGAAGCAGACCTTTGAGCAGGTTCCTAAGCAGAAGCAGACGCAGGCCTCTGAGCAGGCTCCTGAGCAGGCGTCTAAGCAGGCTCCCAGGCAGGCCTCTTAGCACGCCTCGTTTTCCAGGGGCCAGGCCTCCGCGAATTTGTTCTGTGTCCGGGTGCTAAACCTATCGTTCGGTTATTTCGGCCCCTCGGAATATCGAGTAAAAATGCGGTGCTAAGATATCGCCGGGGGGGTTCTTAAATGCTTCCTCGGGTTACTGGTCAGGCCGTTCGACGAGGAGGCGCGTGGTATGACTTGGTTTTGCCTGGAAGCGAAAGCGGGGTAGGTAATTCACGCTCTGAACACAGCCATGTGCACCATACTGTTTCTTACATGGGATCGTGGCCGTGTGGCTGTGGGTGGGAGCGCGGCCATGCGCAAAATTGCACACTTTGATCACGGGATCGTGGCCGTGTGCCATGGCGGCAGCACGGCAGTGTCCACGGTAGCGCATGCTTGTACAAGGGATCGTGGCCTTGTGGCAGAGTAGACAGCACGGCGAGAGGCACCTCTCTGCATTCTGCTAGAGTTGGCAGCGAGGGAGGGGGAAACGAGGAGAAGGCCTTCTCAGAGGGTGGCGGGACTTCTCAGAACCCCTCGCGCCTCCTGAGAATTTGCTTCTGCCTTCGGGGCAGAAAGCCGGGGGGCTTCCGAACCTTCTGAGAAGGCCTTCTCATTCTCACTTCCCCCCCTCGCTCGCCGCCGATAGAAATAGGGGGAAAACAAACCTACCTCGCTTTTGACCACCCTCGCTTCCAAGAGATACCAAACGATGTCAAACTACGGCCTGTACTGGTCAGGCCGCTTGACGAGGAGGCGCGTGGTATGACTTGATTTTGCCTGGAAGCGAAAGCGGGGTAGGTAATTCACGCTCTGAAGAAAGGATGGTGGCCTTCGACAGGGTGGAGGCAGCAACGAGAGCACGGCCACGTGCATCGTGGTACGTTTTCACAGGGGGCCGTCCGTGGCCGGGCGAGAGACGCAGGATGAGCATGTCTGAGGAGAACGCAGGGGCCGGTGCACGGATATGTGCGCCGTAGTGTACACGTCGGTCGGAAGAAGTAGGTAGAAACATGAAGTAGGAAGGCGGATGAAGTGGATTGGGTCCAGGCCCTCCCAGAGAATAACAAAACACAGCAAAAGCATGTCGATTCTTGAAGTAGGAAGGCGCTTGAAGTAGATTGGGATCTGGGAATCCAGAAATACCTACTTTCAACGACCGGCGTGTATGTCTAAGCGTCGAGGCCGTGCGACAACGGTGCGAGCACGGCCATGTGCACCGCAACGTGCTCTTCACAGAAAGGACTGTGGCCGCCCGGACGGAAAGTGAAGTCAGCATGGAGACGGGAGCATGGAGACGAGAATCCGTTGCCACTGTGAACGAGTCTCAAGCGAAACGGCTGCCGGCACTGGCGTTCTCGGGCTCCTCAGCTCTTGTGGGACTCTTCGGTGGTCTTTCCTTTACGACCAGTCGAACCATCCAGCGAAAAGCTATTAGGGGAATATGACACCTTCCTCAAGAAGCGATCCTCAACACACAACCGTTCCACCCGTTCCATGATCGAGTGGCTGAGGAAAAAACAGCATCAAACGAAGGGTGATGCCCGGACCCCGGGGCTCTCCTCCCCCACTGGGCGGCGGTGGATGAGATCTCTGGCGCACAGGCATCCTCGAAATGAGCGACGATCAAAAACGGATCTCACGCGAGATGGCATAGCGACCTAAGCCTTACTCGGTGGCTCACGCGGGCAGTCAGCGCGGCACGATACATTGGAGACGAGGGCGCTTACGCGCGACCTTACACGGGCAGCTTACGCGCCAATGTCGGCGCAGTCGACCCCATTTGGTTGCGTCGCTCAAGTGTACCATTAGGTCGGGCATGTACCATTGGGCGATTCCTGAGCATAAAGTGGATTGGGTCCTCTCTGATTCTCGGTACCGCGGAGCCGCTCCTCTCGAGATGCCTCGGCCCTGGGCCGCACCCTGCCCGCCGCGGCAAGCGCCCCGCACGCCAGCAGCGCCACCTCCGCGCCGCAGGGGCGGGGCGGGGCGGGGTGGAGGGACGGCAAGACCGGGCGCCCGGCGGAGCAGAGGCCTCCCGGGTGGGGTGCCGAGGAGGGGGAGGAGAGGGGGAGGAGGAGGAGGGGGAGGAGGAGGGGAGGAGGAGGAGGAGGAGGAGGGGGAGGAGGAGGAGGAGGAGGAGGAGGAGGAGGAGGAGGAAGGAGGAGGAGGAGGAGGGGTCGGAGGATCGTGCCGCATCGGCGACGCATCGCCGAGGCGTCGGCGATGCACTGGGCTCCGCAGCGAACCGCATCGCCGTCGCGACGGCGACGCGGCGCGATCCTCCGAACCCATCTGCTCGGGCCCAACTTGAACGACGAACAGAAACGGCTCCTACGCGAGATGCCCTACCGAGCTTGCGCGGTGGCTTGCGCGGGCCGCCAGCGCGGCACGCCACACTGGAAACGGGGCCGCTTGAGCGCGATCTCACACGGGCAGCTCACGCGCGAATGTGAAGGGGCCCTGAGACACACAAATAAATACACACAAATGAAAATATTCCACATCTTTTCCAACATTTTAAAGGTTTTTGTCTTCCCCCCACTTGCCATATTTTCCCATATTTTCTGGGGGAATCGACGATTATTTGTGTCTGCGTGATTTTTGTTCTCTCCTGAAAACGTCGGCGCCGTCGGCCCTGTTTTGTGGAGCTGCACCGGTGGGAAGCCTGGAAGCAGGAGGGGGGGCCCCAGATCCCAGATCACCTCGCGACGCGGACAAGCACCAGGGGCGCGCAGACATGGATTAGCGATCCCTGTCAACGAATACTACAAACAATCGTCCCGATGCTATTTTCTGACTATCTTTGAAGACTCCTCCTATACATCGGGGGCGCGCTAACATGGATTAGCGATTCATGGATCTGGCGCGCGGTCGCCAAATCCATGGATCGGGGCAAGTGCCCTCCCCAAAATGCCGCCGGAGCCGCCTCGCTCGGCGGCGGAAATCCGCGTTTTCCCCCGGAAACGGGACCCGTCGCTAATCCACGCCCCCTTGATCCGTGCTTGCGATCGCGGGTACGGACGGCGTACATCAAATGCGCGCGCCTCTCCAGCGATACACGCGCGGTGCTGAAGACGCGGCAGCATCCCACGTGGGCCAGTGGTGGATCCGCGGGAGCCTTGGAAGTGTCAACGGCCGCCTAGAAAGAGCTGGAGCCATCCATAAGCACGACCCATGGCGCACAGGATGCCCCCCCCCCCGTGGCTCAGGTCCCGCTTGCGCCATGTGGGCCAGACGTGGACTCGTCCCGCTGGCCCTCCTCTTCCTAAGAGCGCGCGCGCTCGCGAGGCGGGCCATCCTCGAACTAGCACCTTGCATCCCCTGGAAACGGGACCCGTCGCTGAGTGAACGTTTTTTTTAGTCGGCGTCTCGACATTGGGGGGAATGGGGGAGGGGGGGGGTTGGCTCCGGAACTCTGCTTGGTGCGACCGTTTGGAACCGTGCGTCCTATGGGGAAGACTCCGCCTGCTCGAAACAGGCGCCAGAAGCAGCCAAGATCTACTCCATGGGGGGGGAAAGGGCGGGGGTGCGAGGGCCCGCGCCGATCGACAAAACAATCGATAAGGAAGCAATCAACAATCCACGCCCCATTCAAAGAAAACAATAGATGAGAAAACAGTAGAAAGAGAATCCTCATAAAAAAAAACAATCGACAATAAAACAACAGACAAGAACAGAGGCTCCATCAAGATTCACAACATCGATAACGAAACAACCGATCGCCTGAAATAGAAGAAGAGAAACGCTGAAAAACACAAACTGCTGGCGCTCCGCGCGGACTTCTTTGAAGGGGCCCCAGGACACACAAATAAAAAGATTCCCTATATTTTCCTATATTTTCTGGGTTTTTGTCTTCCCCCCCACTTCCCATATTTTCCCATATTTTCTGGGGAATCGACGATTAATTGTGTCTGTGTGTTTCTTTCCCTCCTGATTCTTGGATCTGCGCTGGACCACCCCCGCACTGGCGCGCGGAGCGCGCCAGGGGCGGCGCCGGAGGGCCCCCCCCACGCGGATCCGAGAAGTCCGCGCGGAGCGCCAGAGGGTCATGCTTACGGCGTTGTCGCTGCTTCGATGTAAGTCGGGCCTGTCCCCCTACAGGGGGATCTTCGACGAAGAATAAATGATACCCCACAAATAATCAAAAAAATAGTCCAAAAATAGTCTGGGGACCATTTTGGAGGTGTGTTTTGACCTGTTTGGTGAATTTCTGAGGTATTTCTAATTTGTCGTCGACAATCTCCCTGCAAAGAGACAGGCCCGACCTAAGCTTAACGCGGCCGAGGATTTGGACGCCCGGAATGGGTACGGAAAGAATGGGTACAATGCCCAACAACAAACGTTTGCCCAAACCAGCAGCGGCCGCTGTTGGGCAGGCGGCCTCCCGTCTCAAGTGGACACGGGCCTCGGCGGCGCGGACAGCGAGCCCTGATCACAAGGAAGAAGGGACTGCTGCTGGGCATCGCACCCATGCTTTCCGTACCCCTGTCGGTCGTCCCGAAAGGATCTTCGGGGATGGACAAACCTCCCTTTAGTAAAACGTGGTTTAGTGAAAACGACCCGAGGCACAAACCTGGCGGGAGCAAGCCTGGAAAATAACGCCCGCGGCGCCCTCTCGAGCACCGAAAACGGACAATTCACGAATCGACGTGTCACTGTTGGGAGTTCTGCCCACCCCCGAGATCTGCATCCTCCTCGGCTTCTTGGCCCCCTCCGTGGCCGTCGAGGAAACGCTCCGAAAAAACGGCGACCGGAAACGGCCAAAAAAACGGCTCCAAGATTGGAACTGGAGCCGGAACCGGTCGCAACACGGCGACGGCAACGGTCAAAAAACTGCGCTGAAACCCGCAACAAAAACGGCAAAACGGAACCGGCAAAACAACGGCCCTGTCGTTTCCAGGGCCCACTAAGTCCTCGGCTTCCGTAATTACCCTCCCTTTCTAATATTCCGTAATTGCCCCTCCCTGATGGTCCGCTACCGAAAATTTCCGGTAGCGCTCCGCAGAGATCGGTCGCTACCGAAAAACCGAAATGCAGCGCCCAATACCGGTATCAGAACGTTCCGAAATCCGCTATTTCAACGCCCTCGAACGAAGATCCGGTCGCGACCGAAATTCGGGGTGCGTCGAAATCGCTACCGAAAATTTCCGGTACCAGACCATCTGGGCTGTCGGTCGTCCCGAGAGGATCTGCATCCTCCTCGGCTTCTCGGCCTGCCCCTCCGGGGCCGTCGAGGGACCGCCCCGAGGCCTAGACCCCCGACGTCATGATTTTTTCATGACGCGCCCCCCAGAGGTCCCGACCCTCTCCCCATGACCGGCTTTGCATCCTGAGTCGTTTTTTGACGCTCCCAGGGCCCGGCGACGGCCCCTAGAGGTCGAAAATTACGAAAAACCTGCGTCTTGATTTTTTCAATACGTTGGATCTCTGGGGGGGGCGCCGAGCCGGCCCCCCCAGAGAGCCGGCCCCCCCAGGTCTGGACCCTTTCCCCATGACCGGCTTTGCATCCTGAGTCGTTTTTTGACACTCCCGAGGCCCGGTGAGGGCCCCCGGAGGCCGAAAATAGCGAAACACCTGCCGTCATGATTTTTTCACTACTCGAGGGGGTCTGGGTCGGCCTGCCCCTGCCGGGGCCGTCGAGGGACCGCCCCGAGGGGGGCGCCGAGCCGGCCCCCCCCGCGACGGGCTGCCGAGGCCTCCGGGCGGCCACCGCCCGGAGGCTGCGCGGCCCAGCGGGGGGGCCAGGGACGTAGTGAAATAACAAGAGGCGCCATGAAATCTGGGGAAACATCGTGCTCCCCGCCATGATGTCCACCCCCCCCTAGTCATCACCCCCCTCTTTTCCGCCCCCGACCTCGGCTTCTCGGCCTGCCCCTCCGGGGCCGTCGAGGGACCGCTCCGGGGGGGCGCCGAGCCGGCCCCCCGGGTCGGGCGAAAGGGGGGGATAGCAAAGGTGGGCATGTATCGAGGAACGGGCCCCTCGGTGAGGCCGGAACCAGCTGCATGCAGCAAATTTCGTACCCCCCCCCTTTCCCAATCCCCCCCTTTCGCCCGGCCCGATCTTGGCCTGCCCCTGCCGGGGCCGTCGAGGGACCGCCCCGAGGGGGCGCCGAGCCGGCCCCCCCCCCCGCGACGGGCTGCCGAGGCAGCCCGGGCGGCCTTTCGCACCCTGGGAGGCGCCGAGCGGCGCCGAAGAGAGCTCTCGGGGGAGAGCTCTCGGGGGTGCCGTCGTCGGCCCGGCCGGCGGATACCGAGGAGCAGGGCTTCGGCGCCCCGGCTTTTTTTCATTTTTTTTTCTACACCTCACGTCGACCACGGCGGCTGGATGCCTCGACAACTTCGCATGGCCACTGCCCCCGGACATGGGGCACGGCGCCCCGGCTTTTGCGCACCCCATCTTCCTTTTGGGTATAGAGCTTGAGGGCATGAGATGTTCTGACGTAGTTCTGATGTTCGAGGTTCTGATCGTTTGAGAAATATACACCCTGCGAAATGCTTTAGAAATCATGGGTTAAGAAACTCATAGTCTCAGAACTTGAAGATAACCCCAACGTTTCTGTCAAAATCTTAGGATTTACATTGAAACATTAAGAATAATCGAGACTCTGGCCGAAAACTCAAGTTTTCTTAAGCATCGCCTAAGGTGTACCCCATCTTCATTTTGGGTGTAGAGTTTGAGGACATGAGATGTTCCCAGACCCCCTCGAGTTATGAAAAAATCACGACGCGAAGTTTTTCATGATTTTCGGCCTCTGGGGGCCCTTACCGGCCCTCGGGGCCGTCAAAAAACGACTCAGGAGGAAAAACCGGTCCCGGGGAATGAGTCCAGACCGCTGGGGGTCGACGTCATGAAAAAATCATGACGCCGGGGGTCTGGGTTTAAGGACATCATATGTTTACCATAGTTATGATCTTCGAGGTTCGAATCGTCTGAGAAATATAGGAGACACATGCAATTCTCGGGCATGCCTCCCGGAGAGGCACGGCGCCCCGGCTTTTGCGTACTCTCGGGGCGCTGACCTGAGGAACGATGGACCAGGAGCGAGGCCCCTTTTTCCCATAAGCTAAACTCCGATGTTCCATAGGATAGCCCTGGAGAGCCCAAGGAACGATGTGAAACCACTGAGGAACACTGAGCCCCTCCCAAACGAAAAGGGCTCCTTCTTCAGCGGCCCGACGGTATGCCTCCCGGAGAGGGGCCGGGCGCGACCGCGCCCTGCCTTTGAGGGTCAGGGACTGCGGAAAACGCCGGCGGGGGCCGGGTGATCCTGAAGGATGCTGGCAGCCATGCGGACCCTTTCTGCTTGCTGCAGGGATGTTCGACACCCTGGCGCCGACTGGACCCGAAGGGGTACATTCAACGCGTATACAGTCATCGGCCTGACCTAAGGAACGATGCATCAGGAACGAAGCTCTTTTTCTTCTGAAGAATAACGCACAAGCGCTGATAATCAATCCATAACGCCTAAGCAGCGATAAGTAACGCATGCAAGCCTAAGGAACGACAGAGCCCCTTTTGAAAAGCAAGTGTTCCTTATTCAAGTCGCTCACTGTAGGCGGTGCGCCCGGGGGGGCTGTGAGAAGGAGCGGGCTCGGAAGTCCCCCGAGCATTCTGAGAAGCTTCCTGAGCCTCCCCCGAAGACACACAGGACTTATCAGGGGGCCCGCGGGCTTCCGAGAAGTCCCGCCGCCGTCTGAGAAGGCATCCTCCTTCTCACTTCCCCCTGGGTCGTTCGCCGCTGAATGACCGCCTTGGTTAACTACGCAACCTCCCAGGAGAGGCATCCTACATCTTGCCGTCGCTGGGACGTCCATTTCCCGTGCATGTTTCGGTTTCGTGCATGTTTTTTTTGCTCGATGGTCCAGGATGGTCCAGGATGGTCCTCAAGGGTCCTCGCCGAGAAAAAAAATACACATGTCCCAGCGATGCCAGGACATCGGAGGGTGCGTCCTCCAGGCCGAACGGGCAGGGTCAGCTCTGAGCTCATCCCGGGCCCGAGGCCGGGAGATCTTGGGCCCGGGATGGCAGACTTGACGGTCGAGAACTTCTGAGAAGTCCCGCCGCCTTCTGATGATGGGCCTGTTTTCCACAAACACCACCCTGAGTTGGAGGGGGGAGGGAGGAGGACGAGGAGGAGGACGAAGAAGAGGAGGAGGAGGAGGAGGAGGAGGACACCCTCCCCCCCAACTTATGGTGGTGGTGGTGGAAAACAAGCACATCGTCTGAGAAGGCCTTCGTCTTCTCGTTTCCCCCCTAGCTCGCCGCCGAAAGGGATGCCAGCGAATGAGCTGCGAGCTGCTCGCTTCCTGGGCGCCTCGAGCCGTCGCGCGACGAGGCGAATGTTCGCGCGGCGGGGCCGAACAGCCAGCTGCGGGAGGCCGCTTCCGTTATCTCCCCCGCACGTCCCCCCCTGCCCCCCCTGCTCGCCGTCGCTCGGACGTGCGTTCCCCGTACATGTGTCGATGTCGTGCGTGTTTCGCAAGATGATCCAGGATGCTCCTCCATGGCCCTCGCTGGGAAGAAACGCACACGTCCGAGCGATGCCAAGCCTTTCGCCCACCCCGAGAGGAGACCCCCTGACGTCATGCTGTTTTCGCCACTCGAGCCCCAGAAGTCTCGATCCCTTCCCCAGGACCGACGTTGCGTCCCGAGTCGCTCTTTGGACGGTCCGCGGAGGCCGACAACGACCAAAAGCTCACGTCGTGACTTTAGTCGCGACCCGAGGGGGCCTGGGGAGGGGGAGGAGCAGGCAACCACAGGTGAACCCTACCCTTAGGTCAGGCATGTCCTCCTACAGGCGGATTTTGGACGGAAAAAATACGAACGAAAAACCCGCATAATCGAAAACACATTACCCGACTTTTTGTTCAAACCTACTTTTGAATATTCCCTCTGGAGGGACATGCCCGACTTAATGCCAGCAGCCATGTGACCCCCCTACTTGCAGGGATGTTCACCGCGTATACGGATGCACGGAGATGATGCAATGGCCTTGGAAGGGCGTGCCGGCGCTTTTCGAGAGGGCGAGGCGAGGCGAGGCGGGCGTGTCCGCCGGCCAGTGGCTGGCGGGGCCCGGGGGGCCGGCGCGGGCGGGCCGGGGCCCGAGGTAGTTAGACGTTGGAGTAGGCAATGAAGTCGTTCTCCAGCGACTGCCCAAATTCAGATAGAGGAGGAGGAGGAGGAGGAGGAGGAGGAGGAGGAGGAGGGGGGGGGAGGAGGAGGTAGGAGGAGGAGGAGGACGGAGGAGGAGGAGGAGGAGGTGGAGGAGGAGGAGGAGGTGGAGGAGGAGGAGGCGGAGGGGAGGAGGGAGGAGGAGGAGGAGGAGGAGGCGGAAGCGTGAGGAGGAGGAGGAGGAGGAGGAGGAGGAGGAGGAGGAGGAGGAGGAGGAGGGGCAAGGATGCAAGGAGACCCGTGGAAATCTGCTCACCCTTACTGTGCGCTGCAAACTCGCAGGCGGCCGCAGACGTCGGGGAACGGCCACCGAACAACTCGCCGAGCCCGGCCGGGCCCCTCCTGGGGCCAGGCCCTGTGGACACGCCCTCCCGGCATAGCCAGGGAGGCACGCACCCCAAAACTGCGCCCAGGATTCGGGGTTGGACAGACCCCCCTTTAGTAAAACGTGGTTTAGTGAAAACAACCCGAGGCCCAAACCTGTCGGGCGCAAGCCTGGAAAATAACGGACACGGCGCCCTTTCGAGAACCGAAAACGGACAATTCACTAATCGACGTGTCACTGTTGGGGGTTCTGTCCACCTCCGAAGGATCGTCCCGCCTGGGGTCGGTGCAGGTGGTCCGCTGGCCTTCCTCGAGGTCGGAGAGGAGGGCCAGGCGAGACCACGGCGGCTCTCCCGCCACTCGTCCCCAGCTCCGCGCGCTTCGGCCCCCAGTGGACCCCGGACCCCTCCCGGGGTCCAGCCTGCCCCGCTGCTCGAGACCTCGCCCGACAAGGACCCAGACCGCAAAGCAGGGCCGCCGTGGTCTAGACCAGCCCTGCTCCAGGGACGCAGTCGGGGGCTTGACCTAAGGAACCCAAAATAAGGAACGAGGCCACTTTTTTTCCATGAGTTAAACTTCGACTTCCGATCGAAAACATAAGGAAAACCTGAGGCAAGCTGCGAAACACTGAAGGAACGCGGAGCCCCTCCCCAACGAAAAGGGTTCCTTCTTCAGGGCCCCGACTGCAGGGGGGAGCGGGAATATGGCGGGGGGGGCACCACGCCAGCAGCAGCCCCCAGTCGCCTCAAGGCAGGCCCTTGCCTCGGGGAGCACAAAGATGCCGCTGCCGCTGCTCCCCGGGCCTGCTCCAGGATGCGTTCTTACCAAGATTCCGAGGCGAATCCAGCCGTGGCGACGAAGGACAGGTAGGAGCCAATCCCACCAGCCCTCTGGGCGTCGGTGGTTTAGAGCGTTTCTTCTTCCATCCTCCGTCTTCCCCTTCGGAGAGGGGTTTACCCCTCCCCCCACCCCCTCCCCACTGACCTGGACAGGGGGGGCCGCGACGCGTTGGAGCGTCCAAGATGAGCCAAGACGACTCCAAGAGGGCCTCAGGGAGCCCAAGATCGCCTCCAAGATGGTTCAAGATAGCGCAAGATGCCTCAAGATGGTTCCGAAGATGCTCCAAGACGCTCCAAGACCGCCCCAAGACGGCTCTAAGTGTCCACTAGAGCTCCCCTCGGATGCCCCCAAGAAGCCAAAATGTTTCAAAACCCTATGGGAAATCAATGTTTTTGGCGTTCTCGCGCTTTCGCTTCCGATGCCCACCCGAGGCGTCAAGATAGCTCCAAGATGGCTCAATATAGCTCCAAGAAGGGCCCAAGAAAGCCCGAAGACGGCGCAAAGAGCGCCCAAGAGCGCTCCAAGAGCCCTCAAAGAGCGGTTCAGGAGGCGATTTTAGAGGCTTTCCAGGAGCGACGCTAATTAGTGCTTCCGCTTTCTTTGACAAGAGGCCCCCAGGATGCCCCAAGAGGCCGCAGGATGGCCCCAAGATGGCCCCAAGAGGCCCCCCAAGAGGCCCCCAGGAGGCCCCCAAGAGACCCCCAAGAGGCCCCAAGAGACCCCCCAGAGGCACCCAAGGTGCTCCCAGAGGCCCCAGAGGCACCCAAGGTGCTCCCAGAGACCCCCCAGAGGCCCCAAGATGGCCCCAAGAGGCCCCAAGAGGCCCCCAGGAGGCCCCAAAGAGGATCCCGAACGGCCCACAGAGGCCCCCCCGAGGCACCCAAGACGCCGAAAAGCCCCTCAGGCCGACCCTCTACTCGCCTGGGCGTCGTTTCTGGACGGGCTGGTGGGGATACGTTTTTTGTTGTTGTTTGAATATAAGCAAAAATAATTATATCGGGCAAAGCAACCTAACAGCGATGTGTAGGAGCATATCTGGAAGCAATCCCCTTAAGATTCAGATGAGAATCCAGTTGTAGAATTCTGCTGTTCTCGCAGTCGTAGTCGCATTCGCGATGACAGTCGCAGTGGCAACGGCAGTCACAGTCACAGCCTCAGCCTCAGCGTGCCTCAGCCTCAGCCTCAGCCTGCCTCAGCCTCAGCCTGCCTCAGCCTCAGCCTCAGCCTGCTTCAGCCTCAGCCTCAGTCTGCCTTCAGCCGCGGCGTCAGCCTCAGGCTGCCTCAGCCTCAGCCTGCATCAGCCTCAGCCTCAGCCTCAGCCTGCCTCAGCATCAGCCTGCCTCAGCCTCAGCCTCAGCCTCAGCCTGCCTCAGCATTCAAAATGTGGCCCGGGAATGTAGTTCTGGGAACTCGAAGAACACGAAGTGGCCTACAGTTGGCTCCGGGCATTCAAATTCATGCCCAGGAATGGAGTTCTGGGAAGTCGAAGACCACGAAGTGGCCTACAGCTGGCTCTGGGCATTCAAAATCTGGCCCGGGAATGGAGTTCTGGGAACTCGAAAACCACGAAGTGGCCTACAGTTGGCTCCGGGCATCCAAAATCTGGCCCGGGAATGGAGTTCTGGGAACTCGAAGAGCACGAAGTGGCCTACAGTTGGCTCCGGGCATTCAAAAGAGCACGAAGTTGCCTACAGTTGGCTACGGGCATTCAAAATGTGGCCCGGGAATGGAGTTCTGGGAAGACCACGAAGTGGCATACAGTTGGCTCCGGGCATTCAAAATGTGGCCCGGGAATGGAGTTCTGGGAAGTCGAAGAGCACGAAGTGGCCTACAGTTGGCTCCGGGCATTCAGAATGTGGCCCGGGAATGGAGTTCTGGGAGGTCGAAGAGAACGAAGTGTGTGACTGTATGCGAAAAACGATCCCCGCCGGCAAACCCCAACACCTCCCCAACGGCTGCCCAAACCCCCCTGTGGAGTCATCTGCTGCTCTCTTTTGAGCCTACTAGAAACCTATCAGTCTTCGCTGTTAGGTAAAAAAACAGCCGCAGGCGGAAGCGCCAGCGGCAGGCACTGGTGGGGATACGCGAAGCGTCTAGAATTTCTTCCTTATAGGACCGGCCAAGCCCCCCCCCCCTCCCCCCAAGTCACGCCCGTTACAGTAGGGGCCCGACCACCAGAAACCTTCCACAAGAAACCCAACCCTGAGACTCCAGGACGTCCATTGATCTTTCGTGCGGGAGCGTCACGCTTTCCATAGCAAAACCATCGAAGCCCAAGAAACCCAGGGCACCCTGGAGGCAAGCAGGATGTTTCTTGGCATGGGCCTCCACTGTATCGCCAGGGTGTGAAAAACTCTCTCTGCCCTATGCCTCCCTTATGAGCCCGTTCAGCGTCTGAGCCCGCTCGGCCGCCGAACGGGCAGCCGATCGGGCACAGCTCTGACAGGGTCGAGGCAATGCGGGGCAGCCGATCGGCCGCCGAGTGGGCTCGATCATGAGCCCCCTCGGCGGCCGAGTGGGCTCCGACGCCGAACGGGCTCTGATGGGAACCCCAGGGTGGCGGTATGGGCATCTTGTCCTCCTCTGTATGCGGAACCCAAAAGAAGTACCAATGACGCCACTCCCCGGGCTTCTCCTGGGGTACGTCCTGGCCAGCACTTCGAGGCGAATCCAGCGGCGGCGAGGGCCCTGCAGCGGGGCGAGAAAGGGGAAAACGAGGCGATGGTAGCGGCATGCCCAGAGATCCGATGTCGTGATTGCTTCAATACGCGGCCACCGGAAAAATCTTGACCCATTCCCCAGGACCGGCTTCTCAACCTGAATCTTTCTCTGACGGTCCCGAGGCCCGGCGAGGACCCCCAGGGGCCGAAACCTGCCGCAGACCCCCGTCCTGTTTTTTCTGCCCACACGCTGGATCTCTGTAAAAAAGGGCTAGGATCGGGATAAATCGCTCCAGAGCGTTCCGGAGCGCTCTCAGAGCGTTCCGGAACGCTCCCGCCGGTTCTCCGAGATTTCGAGTCGTCCCGATCCGATTCTGCCCCGATCTTCGTGTCGTTTTACTCTGGGTGGGGTATACACCTCGCTTCCTCGGACTGCCTGCCTGCCGCAGCGGGCGGGGGCCGCAGCAGCGGACGCGCCCGGGCGGCCCAGGATCGCGTCCAGCTCCTCGGGCACGGAGCCGCGAGCCCC